CGACCCACTTGGTGAAGTAATCTGTTGCCACTAGCAGGAACTTCCTTTGTCTAGTCGCTTGAGGCAGTTGTCCAACAAGATCCATGCCCCATTGGGCAAATGGCCAAGGGCTAGACACTAGGTTCAAGTCTACTGCTGGTTGGTGTATCAAAGGTGCAAACATCTAACACTTCTCACACTTTTTGACATAGGCTTTAGCATCTTTCTGCATATAGGGACACCAGCACCCCTGAGTAATGGTCCTATGAGCAAGTGACCTACCCCCAGTGTGGCTTCCACATACTCCTTTATGTATCTCATACAAGAAGTCTTCAATTTGTGAAGGATGCACACGCCTCAAAAGGAGACCAGTAAAAGATCTTTTGTAGAGATGCCCCTCTGCTGTCAGACTGAATCTTGCCGACTTCAGTCTGATCTTGTGTGCTTCTTTATGATCATCTGGCAGTTTCCCCTTTTTAAGGAATATTATTATTGCATCTCCACATACATATTGCTTCATGCTCTGTGGATAGTGGCTCGACGCTCGGGCCTGACAAATAGTCGATCATTATTGTCCTTGCTTTTCCTGGTTGTACTGTACTAGCTAGGTAGGCCAACGCATCGGCGTGGCTGTTATCATCTCGGCTAACCTGAAGTAGTGGGCAGTTCTGAAACAAGGCTGCCAGCCTGATGACCTCCTTTGCGTAGGCCGACATCCGTTCATCTCGGGCAGCAAACTCGCCCGTTGTCTGGTTGGCAATGAGCTGGGAGTCGCAGAAGACTATTACCTTGTTTGCCTCTATTGTTACTGCCAGCTTCAGTTCTACAATCAATGCTTCATACTTTGCTTCGTTGTTTGAGGCTTTGAACCCCAAACGAATGGATTGTTCCACTATCTGTCTATCTGGAGATATCAGCACTACTCCTGCCCCCGCTCCCTGTCGGTTTGAACTCCCATCAACGAACAGTCGAAAGGAGTCGCCGATGTAAATGCTGCAGGGTCTGAGTTTTTCCTCTTTTTTTTTGTTCTTTTGCTTTTGGCTGAGCTTCTCCTTGCTTGTTTGGACATCGTTCACCCTAGCTCAACGGAGCCCGATGTTCGATGGATTCTAGCGTGAACTCGGCCACGAAGTCGGCCAGAACCTGGCCTTTGATTGTTCTCCTTGGCCTGTACTCCAGGCCATACTGGCCTAGGGTGACTGCCCACCTGGCTATTCTTCTTGTCAGGTCTCCTTGTTGGAGTAAGGACTTCAAGGGGTGTTCTGTTAGCACCACAATTTTATGGGCCTGGAAGTAATGGTTCAACTTCTTTGAAGCCATTACCAAAGCCAGTGCTAATTTTTCTAAGGGTAGATACCTCATTTCTGCATCGGCCAAGGTTTTTCTTACATAGTAAACAACCCTTTGTTCCCCTTTGTCTTCTCAGACTACTACTACGCTTATCGCATGCTCTGAAATGGTTAAGTATAAAAACAGTTCCTCTCCAGGTTCTGGATTTGAAAGGACTGGAGCTGTGGTCAGATACTTCTTTAGGTCGACCAAGGCGGCCTCGCATTCTTCAGTCCACGGGAAGTCTGTGGCTTTCTTCACTAAGTTGAAGAAAGGTCTGCACTTGTCTGAGCTTTTGCTGATGAATCTATTCAGGGCTGCGGCCCTTCCAATTAGCATCTGCACCTGTTTTGCCGATGCCGGGCTCTTCAGTTCTAGGATGGCCTTGATCTGATCTGGGCTGGCCTCAATGCCCCTTCTGGTCACCAGGTATCCTAAAAACTTACCAGATCCAACTCCGAATGCACACTTTGAGGCATTGAGTCGGAGCCAATATGTCTTAAGGATTTCAAATACTTCTTTGAGGTCGGCTAGATGTCCTTCAGGTTCCTTGGTCTTCACGACCATGTCGTCGATGTAGACTTCCACCGTTCTGCCAATTAGATGTTTGAACATCTTGGTTACCAACCTTTGGTAAGTCGCTCATACGTTTTTCAACCCGAAAGGCATCACTCTGTAGCAGTACAGTCCTTTGGGGGTGATAAACGCAGTCTTCTCTTCATCTAGGGGGTACATGGCTATCTGATGGTACCCCCTGTATGCATCCAGGAAGCTCATCCTCTCATACCCTGAAGTGGCGTCTACCAGCTGGTCAATCTTGGGTAAAGGAAAGCTGTCTTTGGGACAGGCTTTGTTTAAACTAGTAAAGTCTACACAGACCCTCCATTTATCGTTCTTCTTCTTCACCACTACTGTGTTCGATAGCCATCTCGGGTAATTTACCTCTCGAATGGCCCTGGCCTCGAGAAGTCTGTCTACTTCTTCTTCCACTGTTTCGACGTGTACCATCGTCGGTCTTCTTGCTCGTTGAATTACAGGTTTGGCCGACCTTTCAATGTTCAGCTTATAGCAAGTGACCTCAGGGTTAATGCCTGGCATTTCGTAAGGCGTCCACGCGAACACCTCAATGTTTGCTCTAAAAAAACCTTCCAATTCTTTTTCCTCTTCTTCGGCTAAGCCCGAGCTGAGAAGAAAGAAACGTTCTTCATCCCATTCTTGGACGAGGATTTTTTTCAGTGCTTCTTCACTTTTCTCGGCTGGCTTATTGCCGACATCTTCTAGGACCTCCACATCCTCGTCTTCGATCTCTGCCTTTTCTGGTTCTCGAATGCTGCAGGTGGATTTTATTGCTGCCATGGAGTAATTTTTCGCCTGCAGCTGATCTCCTCTGACCTCTTCAATCCCACGCTCTGTTGGGAACCGTAATAGTTAATG